TCGAGGACCATCAGTGTGTCAAGAGGCAAAATGGCTGACAGATCCTGGTAATATGTTCTGTAGGAGGGGTACGGGGAGAGAAAAAAAAACTAAAAATATATTTCAAAAACAACCTGGCTCGCAGATCACGAGTCGTTCATTCGTATGCCTCTCCTTTGAAACGTAAAAGAAAAAACAGATCCATTATGGCTGGTAAATTCCTCAGAAAACTTGCTGTGAGTGAATCAAAAAAGAAGACATTAATCATCTATTGCAAATACTCAGCCCATACCTTGTTCAAAGTATAATTTCAGTTTATCACAACTGGGTACATTCAGCCGACAGTTTCAGAGTTAACATTATGCGGTTCTACAAAAGGCCAATAGTCAAATAATTAAATAGGTTTTTATGAGATTCATGGATTCTTTTTTCATTGTTTTCTTTTCCTCTTTCTAAAATTTCACGTTACAGAAATGTTGAAATTTATTCAGAGATAAAGTTGCAGGTCACCAACAAATCCCACATGGAAATCAAAGGCCTAAATGCATTATTCTGTTTTCTGTGCTCTTACGTTTATACCCTGATATACAGACAGTTGAGGTGATAAGTTGTAATTATTGGGTAAATGATTATTTTGGATTAATTATCGATCCTTTGACTTCCAAGTCTGGGGATGTGTCTCTACCTGTGGTCTGTTTTAAGATGTTCCGGAACACAAACATTATTCTTTAAATATTGATGCCCATTGATTAGTGTAAAATGGACAGTTTATTGTCTTTTTTTAAATCTAAAATTTTAGATTTTTGAACTAATTTAAAATTCTATGGTGAACATGTTACTTTGAAAAATAATAATACAAAGATATTATTTGAGTAAAAATATTCCATTTTGATTTAACTTCAAGTTTTAATTCTAATTCTTAAACCGTCATCTGCTTCAATATTGTTATTTTTTTCTTTAAATATGTAATACACAACTCACCTTTAAAGAGCGAGTGGTATAAGACTTTTTGGACTGAAGTAACACAGTTCTGTTATTCACAAATGATCCCATCTTTGAGTGTCAGATTCAAGTTTTTGTCGTAATGAATTTAGAAAATGGGGAAAGGGGCAGATAATTGCTTCTGTAAATGATGACTGATGCTAGATCCATTATGTAATCCAGACAACCACTGTGTGCTTGGTCATAAGGTTTGAAAAGTTCAGAAAAGGAATATTTGTTGGGGAACTATATGCATTAATTTAAGTCACAGAACCATGAAAGCATCATAAAAAGTACAACATAAAGCTTTAGATTGGCAAATATATATTGTTTTTTTTAACTCCTCCACCCTATCCCCACGGGATTTGTTGGTTTAACACTGCATTGCTTTATCTTTTGAATAATTCAAAATAAACTTCTTCAACTACCTGCCCAACTTCACCAGTTACCCCTTGACTATACTCATTTTAGTCACACTAAAGACCCAAGTTGTCATAAACTGGGATTACCTTTTGAGTGCTGGAATTATGGTCGCAATTTGCCTATTTCTTACTGGATGTGTTGTAGAAGGTAGATAAAAAGCCTGTATGTTGATATACATGCTGTATTGAAAATTTGCTGTGGTTTTTTCAGGGCTTCGGTCTGACAACGTTTACCACATCTTCTCTGTTGTTACCCTTCCCCCAACCGTAAAGCCCCACTATGGTCTTCCAAAAGGTTTGCTAAAGTCCAGACCCCCAGCCATCCATTCCAGCGTGCCTTCCTCACCAGAAACACTGATCGCTGTTTCTTCAAGGCACGTATGCTAATGTGTAAAAATACATATGTTTTTCAGCCGCGAAAAGGCCTTTTCTTTTGTCTTATCCCAAAGGTTATTATAAACATATTGTACAGGATATTAAGACAAGCCTGTAGAGTTCCAATACTGAAACAATTCCTTCAGGGCTTATCTAGGACCACACACCTGGTTGCAGTTGTCACAACTGAGTGGGATTTATGGCATTTCATAAATCCTTCTATTTATCCCAATTTTTAGGAAATGCATTCAGCTAAAAACAGGGCACTGTTCAACTTACGCGGTATGCTATGCTTAACAGGATATTGATGAAAGCCCGTGAAACGGCTACGAACAATACTGAAGGTACCGGCTAAACTTCAAAGTTAGTGTCTTTTCTCCAAATAACTTTTTTTTTTTCTGGAGAAATTATCGGTGTGGATTTAAAACCCATCGAGCCATATATAACAGCAAGAAAACTACCTGTATCTGAGTCTTTTCAAATGTTTTAAATTTACATTTACATTCGACAGAAATGTTCTGACTCTTGTCACTCAATAAATTGGACTGGACAAAGAAAAATACATTTTTGAATATATTTGATATTTGGGGGGGGGTCATATCTATCGAAAGCAGGCTGACTCATAGTGTGCACATCTGCACAAACACATGCCTCAATAATATCGACATGGACATTATAGACTTTGGTTGATTCACTTTGCATTTATACTACTGATATAGTTTTATGGGAGAGAAATTCAAACTTTAAAAAAAGATATTGTACGTTTAATTTGAATTCAACATAAAAAGGCAGACTGCTGGAATTTGGCAAAAGTAATGCCTGATATTGTTAATCATTCTTTAAAGAGAACCATAAAAAATGGACTTATGATTAAATTATTTTTCTCCTACGTTTACGCACTTTTCAACTCTCATCCCTAAAAGAATTATTCATGTCCCTTTTCCTCATCTGACAAAGACTAAAAGGATCATCCTGAAGTTATTAATCTTTCCTTATCCGTAATCTTCAACTGTCTCTTTAAATGATCTCAAACGCACAATTTGAGCTTGTTTCTATGTTGATGTGTTTATCACACGTTTCCCTGATGGCTTCAAAGTGCATCTAAAGCGTAGGAGTTGTCAGTTTAGATCTATACGCTTCCCTGACACCATCAGCGGCTCAGCTCTCAGTGCCGTAATATTGGATCAGAAGAGGTTGCAGCTAAAGGCTCCACATTTAGTTCTACAGGCATCCAAATTCTGCTGTGGAGAGATCAGAGCATGGTCATGCATGTGCTCCCTTATAGGCCAATTCACCCCCATTTCATTCATTCCGGTTGGCTTAGAATTGATTAAACTGTAAATTTACCTCCCTCTGCCAGACTCTGAAAGCTCAATTAGTCGATACTAGCCAGTTTTTTCACTTCAATGCCTCGGTTTGGACTGGATCTTAAACTCTGGTGATGTCATATTTGGCTTCAATGGGATGAATTTGTTTGAATTTAGAAACTTCCTGACAAAAAGCTTGTGTAAGGTTGTAAATACAAAGAGTCAGGTTTCCATCTGCTTTCTTAAGACGCTGAAGGAAACAAACAAACCAACAAAAAAACATCAATAACTTTGCCAAAAGAGTTTTACCGTTTGCTTGAGCTGTTTCTTTTCCTCATTTTCGAGAAGGAGTTCTAGACATCAGTGCAGATAGAAAAGCCTAATCATTTCTGATGTAACAAACATGTTCCCGAAATGACATGAGCATGATCACATGAATGTCCTATCGTTGGTACATACTGAAAATATACACGGCCGATGTAAACCAATGCAAAAGAATGGGCATCAAGACATCTAATTACATATTTGGCCAAGACTATCTTTTCCTAGGTTTTGCTTCCAGATAGCAGCTGCTCTTTGTGTAACAGCAATTGTTGCATTCAATTTGTGCCAGAAGCTGGAACTCTGAGCCTGGAAGGATATCATAAATATGCCTTATTTTAGCTGGTAGTAAGAAATTCAAATGGATTTTTAGCTGTCATTGTTCCTTAGACTGATTTACTGTCATAAGCTATGTTAATTATTTGATTTTGCCCTTTTCTTTGTAGCAAAAAGGGATTTGATAGTTGTGCTATGCAGTTAAGATGTACACTATGGTTTTGAAAACACAAATACTTGACTGTGGTGCTAATTAAGTTTGTTTATGCCACTATTCTTACATGTCATGCTGAGGAGAGCCATGTTGTAGTCTGCGATTAGGGTTAGAGTTGTCGTTGATGTGCTTCTCCTTGCTTTCCAAGTCAATTTTCAACCTCAATTTTTCTTACTTGGAACCACCTAATTCCAGCTTTCAAGTTCAAATGGAATGCACAACTCCACTATCAACTTACAATACTGTACAACTAAGTTCATTCACTTATTCACAATCCAATTTCAAAGCAACGCAAGGCAATTAATTGTTTTTAAAATGATGAAAAATACCCAATCATACCCAGTGATTGGTCGGACCCCAAAACGGGAAAATCTATTCAGCATCTCAGTGTTACGGTTGGTTTGTCCTAAATGTCAACCTTAAGAAGCTCTGGGTTAAATAATAGCAGATCTGATCTCTCCCTGTGATCAGACGCAGTGTGATCCTTTGAATCAAAGACAATAGACATTTATACATCTGCTTTGAAAGCAGACTAAACAAAGTCACAAAACCATGGCATACTAGTAAATGACATCTAATTCACATGCTAATATTGGCAACAATATTTTGGCTTTATGTGCGGTGAAACCACTGAAATATATGATTGCTTATAGGAAACAATACCTGATGATTTAAGTCATTTTAAATTCTCTGTCTGCAGTGATGCAAAGGTATAATACATGATAATAACAATAATAAATGTTATTTTCAAGTTTAGGTAAAACAAGCATACTCCCTTTGAAAAATAGCATATCCCCAGTGTGCATCATTTGGTTCGTAACCAAAGTGAATATATGAACTTTGTATTGTAAATCTGTGATCGGTAGGTTTTTATTTGTCCGTCGTGATGTTTCAAATGGAGGAATCTCATGAAAAAATAGACATCCATGCTTCATGCTTTTGCATCCCATTGTGTCCGCACTTGCTGTTCTCGAAGCGTTCGTTATCCGGTCCCAGAAATACTTATATTACATACAACCAAACTGCGAAAAAGTGCTAAAGTAAAATCTGGTGAGGAGCAGCATTGGAAATGTTTGACCTTGTGTATAAAACATGGAAACCTCAGTGTCCCGTGAGCGTTGGCGCTCAGATAGATTTCCTTCTCCTCATGAGTTGGTGATTGTCTGTGAAACTGTGGAGGCCCGGGGACACTGAGCTGATCGGCGAAGGGAAGAAGCTGTTTTTCAAGGTGCTGGGCGAGATCTCCTCGATCCTGTAGGAGACCGAATGAAAGTACTGGCTGGGGTTCAGCTGCGAGCTGAAAGAGTTCTGGTGGGAGAAGGCGCAGCCCAGGCCGCCGATCCCTCCCCCAGAGCTGCCGAAGTCATGCGAGTGGTAGTGCATACAGGAGCACACCGACTGCAGGTCGGTCACCTCCGTCCGGTACGGCTTGCGTCGCCGCCGCCCCCGCTGCAGCGACTCGTCCTGGATGTGGATGATCATGCTGTTCCGGTTGCCGGCGAGCGAGGCCCTCTCCTCGGCGTCCCGCCGCTCGTCCTCGCTGTTCATAGTCAGGAAGCGGAGCACCACCAGGTTGAGGAAGGCCCCGATGACCGTCAGGCCCACCAGGATGTACATGAAGCTAAAGGCCACGTATAGGGGCTTCTTCTGGAGGGCCCGGTTCTTCTGCAGGGCCACAAAGTCCCCGAAGCCTATCGTTGTTAACGTGATGAAGCAGTAGTAGTACGACTGGAAGAAGCTCCAGTCTTCGTAATGGGAGAAGGCGGCGGCTCCGATGCACAGCGTGCCGATGCAGGAGAAAAATCCCACCGTCACCATGTTCTCCATGGACACGTCCGTGATGCTCATGCCGCAGCATTTCTTGATGCGTTTCAGGAGGTACTTGACAAAAGTGTTCATCCTCTCACCCAGGCTTTGGAACATGACGAGCGTCAGAGGGATTCCCAGGACGGCGTAAAACATGCAGAAGGCCTTCCCGGCGTCTGTCCCCGGCGCTGCATGCCCATAACCTGGGGAGAGAGAAGACATATGGCACAAATTAGCGTCGCCGGGATTATTTTTTTGCTTAGCGACGTCCACTACCGTCGCTGCTGCGAGAAAGAAGCCCTTAGATCATCTTTTGTTCGCATGCTAGAAATCTCCCTAAGAGTCCGCGATCGCTGCCAAAAGAGGTATTGAATAGGTGCATGGCACAGAAATGTGCCTGCTCATTAATCTTATTTGGGCTCAAAGATTACAGTAGGAGGGGCGTTCCAATTAATCAGAAGTTTCCGGTGAGGTAAAGGAGTTTGAAGGAGGGATGGGAAAAGAGTCATGTGGGAGCCAGTGAAGCTTTTAGCTTAATTAGACTTTATCTTTAGACCAGAAGCTGCTGACTCGCGCAAAAAAAACATACTTTTCCAAATCAACTTGCGGGGCTAACAATAGGACTCATGCACCATTTGATTCAATTTTGAAATGTAGCATAAAGGTTTTTATGTGCATTGCATCATATTTACAAAGTTACTTTAGAGATTAGAGTATGAATGAAGCCAACATCTCTTGAGTTAGCAGGGCTTAAAATAAAGTGTCATATTGATTATCTCTCCTCTTACACAGCCCATAGCTGTGAGTATTAAATACCAAAATCATAGCCAAGAAACACCCACCATCAGTTGGTAACACATCGGTCCAAGAACTGTCCTCCAAAGGAGACATTGTATTTTTGGTGTGCTGTGGAGCAATTTTTAAAAATGTATTTATTTATTCATAAGTCCTGAATGTGTTCTGTGTTTTGTGTTCTCAAATATTGATTCTGTCTTTTCCCATTCGGCCTCACGCCCACTCAAGCATGTGTTTAGTTATGCCCTTCAAAAAAATGGGAAAAAAATATAGCTAGAGCTATTAGATTCGCACTATCATAAAGAGCTAATATATTTGCATGGGCAATGCGTGATATTTGCCTAAAGCTTCATCAGTAGACTTAAATAGAACACAATGTACCAGTAATGCAATACGCTTGCATAATTAAGCTTTAAAAAGTAGACAAGGCTGCATTTGGATTTGAGTTTTTTCCCAACTAACACTCATTTTTATTTACCAAAACTTGACAAAACAGAATATAAAAGTGAGTGTTTAACACTGAAAAGAACATGACATGAGATAAAACATCTCTAACATGGGATGAAAACTAGAAACTGTATCTATTATAAAAGTGCAAAATCAAAAATCACTATTTAACCGTCTAGGCTGGCATTTGCAAGCTTCTGTGTTTACATTACATATAGAAGTATCGTATCAGCTATACCAGCCCAGTTCTTACTCAGATCGTATCAGATCGATACCCAAAATTCTCGAGATAACCCGTCCCTAATTGGGAATGATGGTAACTCAACCACGAAATGAGAAGCCAGACTAATGGAGCTACACATGCTGATGTGCAGAGATTGGCCAATTTCTGCAGAGTTAATAACAACAGACCCGAAGCCACACATCACCAAATGCAATGCAAACCGTCGGATGCATTGCACAGACTTTAGAGTCCACCGAATTCGAGCCCAGCCTGAGAGCCAAGTCTTTTCTCCCAAAATCAGACTCACAAACACGCCTCTGCAAGAATGGTACTCACATACACACTCCAAAACCTTGTGGACTGACTTCCCAGAAGAGTAGAAGCTATTATAGCATATGAACCAACGTCATATTGAACCCTGTGGCTTAAGAACGGGATGTCACTTAAATTCATACGGGAGTTAAGGCAGGTCAGCCAATACTTTTGGCAATATAGTGTATGCTCCTCTGAGAGGACTGAGTGTATGTGTGACCAATAAGTTAGCTGTTTGTAAGAGCCAAGTTTCTTCCAATTCCCAGATTTTGGAGAGATGCCAATGAATATGAACGCTATGTTAATCATCGACATTTATCAGCAACATTAAACTGTAACAGTGTTGAAACTTTCCAGAAACCACCTTTTTAGCCTCATCACATGAACTAATATCAAACTATACACGTGAGCCGATAAGGTGCAATTTCCAGCGTGCCTCTTGAAACTGAAATAGACCTCTTTATGATACAACTGAAGCAGAACCAAGCAGAGGATTAGTTCACTCTTCAGCTTTGTCTGTACCTCCAGGAAAAGGACAATTACAATTCCAGATCATATCTCAGAGCAAGCTTAAGCAGAGGCTGCCTCATTCGCAGCTCGAATCTGTTGTGGAGATCTGCTGCTTGTTTACTACTAGGGGAACAAATGGAAACAGAAGGGGTAAAAAATCAAACTCTTATCTCAGCGGCACAGATAAGTTGATACATAGCTTTGCCATAATAGACCACAGTAATCTTACTCATTCCATTTGCACAAAACTCAATTGTACTGATGGGAAGAAAGCAAAAAGTTAAGAGTTTTTATGCAAGTGTCTGTCTTGGTTTCCAACAATCTCCACTTCTTTTGCATTATAAGTGAACTACCGCTATATGTATTTATATATACATCTATCATTATTTCAAGCTAGATGACACTGTCCCAAATATGGCCCACTTTACTTTTATTGAATGTTCTTGCACGCAGATATGACCTATAATTATGATGAAAGCGGGGTCTCTGGTGTTCATAAGTGCAACTGCATGTTAACTGTAGAAATCTCATCCAGTTAAAAATGGATATCAGCCCTTATAATATTCATTTTCTTACCCTTCACATTAGTTGCTATGGTAATAAACCGACCCTGGATGGGAAAAAAACATATAATGTATTTTTCCCCACATGTAAACAAGGCAACTAGCTAAATGGCATCCATGATGGTAACAATTATTGTAAATACTGATAGATTCTTGTGCTTTTTGTCACTTCTGGTTTCAATGTGCCTCAAAACACATTCGAAATAAACAAGATAAAACCAGAACTTGTGTGTACCCACTAATATAAAAACTATGCAGGATAGGGCCAAAGAAAAAATATTTGAACCTTCTCGATCTTTTCTTCCTTAAGACTCATTACTGATTCTTTTATATTGGGTTTGGTACATTCTGAAAAAAGTAGAAAAGTACAAAGAAAGGAGGCTGAATTTAGGCTCCTTTAAAAGTGGCAACTACCACTGGTTTCCCCCGGGTTCAAAACGTGTTGGTGACACTGTTGTGTCTTTTCTAGTCTGTTAAGATGAAAGGAAAATGAGCAAATCTTTGCAATCACCAACATCTCTTGGATAAAGCTAAAAATCATTGTAAGATTAACAGGTCATTTTTCAGAAAATAGTTGTTTTTCTTCAAATTCACTACTTCACTATGTACTGAATGATTACCTGTTATCTGTTAATGAATTTCTATACTCGACAAACAATGTTCTGATAGGAAAAAATGTATTAGTGTATTATATGTATATATATGTAAATGTATTATTATTTTTTATACCAATGCCCACAGTTTCCTCCCTGGTTCAGTGGGCTGCTTTTGACTCAATTCCCTTATAATCCATTCCCGTTCCATCCAGTTGGATCTGAGGTACTGTATTTTGAATATTCGTTCTATCTTTTAGTTTGTTTGAACCATTCCTGCACCAACAAAGGGTTGTTGTGTTTTACAGCATTTTTTGTAAACCTACTGCTGTGTTTCGGACCACTGTCCTGCTAATGACACACTTTGGTAAACAGAAGAGTCCATGGTCAATTTGATAACTGCAAGGTCCTGTGGCCGAAAAGCAAGCCCAAATCATTAGTCTTCCACCTCCATACCTGATGGTTGTTAAGAGGTACTTTTGCTTATTTATTGTGTTTAGTTTACGCCAAAAGTGATATTTTCCATCCATTTTAAGGTCTGGTAATCGTCAGTTGATTTCTTTTTTTTTTTTTTTCAAAACTCTTAATTCATAAGACTATATTTCTTTCTAATGACTATACAAATCCATTTTATAACCCTTGTATGCCTTCCTGGGATCATTTATACCCTGGTTTCACTGAATCCAGGGTATATATTAAAACTGCAACAAACAACTCTCTTTATGGGGTGCATTTTGAAAATGGATTTTAAGCAACACAGATAAACTATATATGTGATTTATTGGGGGTTTGGAGGAAAATTATGCAGATCCGTGGGATTCAGGCCATAACAGTCTAATCAACTCATGCATGAGAAAAAGCTAATTAAACAAACAGCAAGTACAATTTTAAACATATAAAAAGGTTGTAGTGCTGTTTTGTGTAATCAGCTAAGAGTTCTTCTCATTTTATTCAAAATGAGCTGGGTATTTGATCTGGTCCCAACATATTAAATTACTGCATGAACCATGAGATTTGATGTTTTATGTGGTTAGCAAAACAGATCAGCTGTATAGATCACTACTAATTCAGTCAGCAGATAATATTTTAACATCATACATATCTAGTCATCACCTGCAAGAAGCATTGTTGTTGTTATTATTCACTTTGCAGTCATCCGTCTTTGCTTGAAAGGGGACAGGTGATTTCTTATTTGTCTGTAACATGCCACAATGAATTATCAAGTCTATACCTGTAACTGATAAGACAGAAGAGGAAGTTATTAAAAGCACTCCAATAGATTAAAAGGAGAAAGAGAAGGAAGAAAAGGGTCCCGTCCCGTCACCTTGAGCTTACATGCTCCAACATTTGTCCTCAAACTTTGAAGCTAGTGAATACCAGATAATTAAATCAGCTATTTTTTACTCAGACAAGTGACCCACAGAGTGGATATTAACTTGTAAAAGCCATCACCTGTGACATTTATCAAATCAAACAATATCCATTCATGTACTGTCCATCACTCTCTCTTATAGAAGCTGATATTAAAATACATTTTCTTTTTTTATCTTCTTTCAGCAACAAAATCCCACAAAAAGGAAAAGAAAAGTTGTAGTGTAAACAAAGTCTTTAACGTTTTGTTTGTTTTTTTCTTTTCTCCAGGAGGCTCTCTTAAAGCATTTCCTTGATCTCACTGATGGGATGTGTTGTTTCTCCAGCAGTGTTGCAGAACTGTGTAATCTGTTTGCCCTGTTTTAATGCCCTATCATCTGCTGTTGTCTTGGGAACAGACATATTTGC